AACCCCTCCGGTTGCGGAAACCGCGGACGAGGTAACGATCACAAAGATGAGCCGACCCTCGACCAAACCCCCGCTACGCGCGGGGGCTCGAGGAAAGTTGGACACACAGGGAGACCGAATGTGCGGAAGCAGAACGATGGCTCAGATCCTAGGGAGGGGGTACGTGCAAAAACTAAGAATAACGTTTCTAAAACAAGAGACGCTTTCTCCTACTAGTTTCTCTATCCTCTCCTCGATCTTTAGTGACACCCGAGCCCAGCAACGACAAGGGGTCAGGCCTCACTCAAGGGCTGATAAGGGTATATATATACCCTTTCTGAAACAATCGTCGTGCCTGACCCCTTCCTCACGTTAAAAAACCTAGTGGCAAGGTTTACGGAAACGAACAACTGAGTAAGGCTGGTTAGACTGCAAGAAACCTACGCCCTAGCGGCTACGATGTTCTTGCTTACCAGCGTGATCAAAGTTTCCCTCCTACACCTCGAACTCTACGGTCTTAACAAATGGAAGGGTCGGAACGCATTAACCCCTTTTCACACATAAAAAGCGAGGAAACCAACCGTCCGCCTAGATCTCCGCGCTTGCCATGACCTGTCACCACGACACGTCATGGGGCGTGCGCACACAACCTATGGCCATCCCCTTGGAAAACGCGTCGGATATTTCACCTCCATGAACGGGCCAAGACTCGTCATAGGTAAAAGGGATATGGGGCTAAAAAGGCTCCTACGGCCCATCTAGGCCTAGGAGTTCGAAGGTTGGCCCACCGATGGGTTCGACAACCGCTCTGGGCACCTTTAGAGTGAGGGGTGAAAAGGGATGGGCCCGCTGTCAGCCAGAACCAAGCACACGAGCGACGTGGGCATGTCGGCCCATGTTCGAGTCTTGGCCAGATACGATCCTTGGTTTTTCCTCGAAGAAAGGCAGAGAGCCCTTAGGACTGGTCGAACGGACCTGAGAACTATATGGATTGACTGCTGAGAATCTAGAGTCGGTCACCAGTTGACCCAAGCCGGACCCCTGCGAACGGGATGCTGGGGCCCCATTCGGAGTAGCCCGTTAACAGCTCACCGAGAGCCATGATTCGTCCATAAAGGAAAATCATGGCATGGCTCAGCCCCTCCGTTTTTATCAGAAAAAAACGCTTGAGGGAAAACGATCACAAAGACGAGCCGACCCTCGACTGGACCCCTGTTATGGGCGGGGGCTCGAGGAAAGTTGAACTCGCAAGGAGACCGAACGCGTGGTCACAAAACAACAGACCCCCATAAGGGTCAGAATCAGGAAAGACCTTTTCTGACCCACCAAATCTCATGGCTATACCCCCGAGGGGTCCGATCTCGATGAAAGGGAATCACCGTCCCCAGGTCACGCCGTGGGCGACAAAAGAAGGTCAAGGCCCTCAGAGTCCTTTCGTTCAGAAAAGCCTCCGAAGCAGTATTCTACATCTCCATAGGCTCGGGGGCTACTGTCGAGGACCAATACTAGGGTACCCGAAGAGGAGGAGCTAATGACCATCAACATCGATTCATCCGAGCAGTCAAGAGCGCGACTACAGCTCCAACCGACCCTGAGGCCGCGGGCTCCGCCTCGCTCAACCTTTGGGGGCGGGCTTTGCCTCGCCTGTCCCTGAGGCCACGCGCTCCGCTTCACCCGACCTCTGTGGGAGGGCTCCACCTCGCTCGACCCCGAGGTCACGGGCTCCGCCTCGCCCGACGGGGTCCCATACCGCCGCCAACCACTCCAGGTCCAGGTGTATGGGACTGGGTCAAAACTCTGACACCAAGGAAGAGACTAGCACGCCCCGATGTAACCCATGGCCGTGATGGGCCATACCTAAGGGTTCACATCAAGAACAACGTCGGCGCGTGCGAGTGCTGTTCTGCCTAACCATCGTACGAACGCTGACATGCGCGTCAGTTCATCACGACGTTTGTCGGGACGGAATGGAACACCATGACCGGCAGACGATGCCTGCTCGTGGCGCCAGTGACGGACAGGGCCACGACGTGGAGCTGCTCCTTTTGACGTCTACAGGGTCAGCATGACCCGCATGAAGGAGAAGAAGGACTCAGCGATCCTGAATGACTTCTTCTCCCTCTCATTCTTTTTTTTCCTCCGCTGTAACCCGTGCTTTCCCTTGGCCTATAAAAGGGAAAGCAGGACGTCCCATGGAGGGGATAGACCCATCGAGGACCGATCGAATCACCCCGAACCGTTCAAAATATGAGATAAACACACAAGAACACGACACGAACACACGGCTGAGCAGCGATCGAGCTCTCAGCACCCGTTCACTCTTTTCACCAGAGACTTGGGATCCTTTCCCTCTCTCGCCCGTTTGTACCCCCTACTACAAACTTTCAGTGCTAGTAACACGAGTAGCAGCAACGAACTGAACGTAGGGACTTTCTGCCCAAACCAGTATAAACCTCGTGTCCTCTAAGCACACCATCCAAGCCAGACGTGCAATAATACAAATTTACTCGTCGGTGGTAACTCGAAACACCGACAACGGGCAATATACTCGTGTAGAGAAAGAGAAGGGATCTATTAAGGGCGTACCCAGTGTAGAGAGCTCCCGCTCTGTGCGGGATCTGGGGAAGGATGTTAGTGGCAAGCCTTACCCTCGCATGTGCAATGCGAGGAGACCGCGACTTGAACCCGGGACCTTCCGGTTCCTGAGAGAAAAAAGAAGGGAGGTTTTAAATGCAAATATACATAAGCTAGTGTGGCACATGAGCAATTAATGCACATATAACTCATATAGATCTATGGTGTATCACTTAATAAGTTTAAAAAATATATATATTTTTAAAGTTTATATAGCTAAGTGATATCACTTAACAAGCTTAGAAACAGCCTTGAATCTAACTAAAAAAAGACACGGGAAGGTCCGAATAATTATCATCTGTTCTCATGTGCTGTACATTAAGGGGTGCAAATGGTACGGAATACAAATTCAAAACCGTTTAGAGGAGTTCAGATTCATCTGTATCTGAACCTGGATATTCGACATTCAATACCGTATCCTTAGCCGAATACTAAAATCACATGTTATGATGTTGATATCCATTCGTATCCTATAGACATCTATCCATATTCAAATCCGAACCCGAATAAAAATATAAAAATGAATATAATATCAGCGATATTGGTGCGTATTCGATCTGTTTGCACCCCTAATAGGCGATTAGGCACTGTGACGATCGAACGCTTTGTCGAAGTGCACCTAGGAAAAGGGAGGGGGTGTGCTAGTATTAATTGGGCCGCGTTTGGCGAACGACAGGGAACGGCATGCTGCGATGGGTTCAAATGGCCCACAACTAGCGCAGAGACCTGCTTCGAGTTCTCAGTATAGTTTTCCAAACGGGCGGCACTGGCACTACACGGCACTGGCACTACACGGCACGTCACTATCAGGCACGGCACTATTAGGCACGGTGTCACTGCCGTGCCGTGTAGTGCCACCGTGCCCAGACTCTGGTCCAGGCACTGCACTAAAGCCCTCAGATAGTGCCGTGCCACAGGGCACGGCAGCCCAACGGACTAGTGCCGTGCCTTGGCACTAAAACCACATCACCACTTCAACAGATCAGAATCAAAAGAACAGTTCAAAAACAAACTTGAAATCCGATGAATCTGAAATCACAAAGAAGAAAACACAAGACGGGAAGTGGGTCAGCAGCAGTACGGCCGTAGAGTTCCTCGGCAACACGATGGCCGAAAAGCTCCTCGGCATCCCCCGCGACATCGTCCTCGTCGTCCCCGGTCATCCCGTAGAGGCGCAGCTCGTCGTTGATGGTCATGGAGAGACCGATGTCCTCCTGCTCGTCCGACATCTCATCGTCGCCGGCCTCCAGTCCCTCAACGCCAATGCCTACCAAAACCAAGAACAACAAGAACACCTAGGGTTAATAGAAGATCATGAAGAAATCAAGAAGAAGAACAAAAACGAACAGATCTAGGGTTACGGCTTACCTCTCTTGATGGAGCACCAGAGACAACGGCGACGACGACGTCGCGGAGACCCGACACCCTGGTACCTCAACGCATCAGAGCGGAGCCCCAATGATGCCGGACCCCGGCGAGGTCGATGAGAGCGACGAGACAGAGACGAAGACGAACGGTGGTGGATCTCGACGAGAAAGCTACATCGACAGTCAGGGAGAAGAAAGAGTGGTGTAGAAGGCCGTGCCGTGTGCCCGTGCCAGCAACCGCCTCCTTAACCAGCCACCGGACGATGGGAAGAAGAGAGGAGAGCGGCTAGGGTTTCAGTCGATGGGAGAGCTCGATACGGCCATGTGGCTGGAATGGGGACGGAATGAGCTAGGGTTTGGAAAGGTGGGGAGCCAGGAGCGGCGGCTGGCTTATAAAGCCGTCTCACCCGACCTCTAGATCCAACGGTCAGCAGGGGGGCTCCATCCAACGGCTCGAGGCCGTGCCGCCCCCGTGCCGGCCGTTGAAGCGGGCCGTGCCCGTGCCGTGCCATCGTGCTAGCATCGCGGCCCAGGCACGGGCACGGTAGCTGCCGGGCCGGGCCGTTTCCGTACCGTGCTCGTGTCGGCCTAGCGGGCCTGGCCCGTTTTGGAAAACTTTAGTTCTCAGATGCCTCACGTCCTCTGGAGCTGACCGCTCCCATGACATGTTGCCGCTGTTGACCACACTGAACACCGGGAGCAAAATGCCGGCCCAAGCATCCACGGCAGATATTGCAAGGCACAGGAGCTAGTCACTAGCCAGAAAAGATATGTAGTACTACTAGTGTGGAATTAATCAGCCAGTTGATTGGGTTCTAGTCTTCTAGACCATCTCAAAGGCTAGGACACGCTAAATCCCGGTGCCCAAAACGTCAAAAGCTGAAAAGGCATATCCTTTCGTGCATCTCGCCGATGCTATATGGCACGCTCGAAACTCGCACATCCGTCCGTGTCCATCCCGGCAAAGGTGGCAACTCGAGACCATCCCTTCATCATACAACCATACGCCAGCGCGTCTCCATGGAGGTGGAAACACCGGCGCAGGCGCAGCCATGCAAGAATGTCGACCAGAGCGCCGGCACTACAAGGACGACACTCCGCAACCCGCTCCTCGTCGTCAACTTCGTCCTCATGGTCGTCGGCTCAGCGGGCGGCCCGCTTTTCCTCCGCGCATACTTCATCCACGGCGGCGCCCGCAAGTGGCTCTCGGCCTTCCTCCAGACCGCCGGCTTCCCGCTCCTGCTCGTGCCGCTCTGCGTCTCCTTCTCCCGGCGCCGCCGCCGGCGCGACCGCGACGACGCCGACGCCTACGACGCCCCGGCGAATAAGGCGGCCGCCCGCACGCCGTTCTTCCTCATGACGCCCCGCCTCCTGGCGGCGTCCGCGGCCATCGGCCTCATGACCGGCCTCGACGACCTCCTGTACGCCTACGGCCTGGCGTACCTGCCGGTCTCCACGTCCTCCATCCTCATCTCCACGCAGCTGGCCTTCACGGCCGCCTTCGCGCTGCTGCTGGTGCGGCAGCGGTTCACGGCGTTCTCGGTGAACGCCGTGGCGCTGCTCAGCGCCGGCGCCGCCATGCTCGGGATGAACGCCGGCGGTGACCGCCCCGCGGGCGTGTCCCCGGCGCAGTACGGCGCCGGGTTCGCCATGACGCTGGGCGCCGCCGCGCTCTACGGCCTCGTGCTCCCCGTCATGGAGCTCAGCCAGGCGCGGCACGCCGCCCGCGCAGGCGCCGCCGCCGTCACCTACACGCTCGTCATCGAGATGCAGCTCGTCATCGGGCTCACCGCCACCATCTTCAGTGCCGTCGGCATGCTTGCCAGCAATGATTTGCACGTAAGTTCATTTTCGCTGCCAACTTTTCTTCGGCTGAAATTAGTACATGCAGTTGCTACGATTTCCGGACATCCCGGCGCTCTCCACTCCCTCACTCTGTCTCTTTCCGTAGTCACTCATACCACAGCTGTACTGCAACATTTGCGCCTGGGCACAGCAACACTGTAGCGCCTGAATGCGCTATCTTGCTCGGATCCTTTTGCCACTCATGAGCCCCCACCTAGCATTTTGAATATCCCACAGTCGGCAATGCCCAAAAGTCACCTAGATAGACAGTCGAATTTTACAAAAATAGCGTTATGTGTGGCCAAGCCAAACTCCACTGTGCCAATTTGATCTTGTTGGCATTGCAAAAATTATCTCTAAGTGACATCATAAGTTGTTAAAAAAGGGGACTCGTCATATTTCAGGTGTCTGAATTTTAAAAAGTTTCAAGCAATAATCTTACACAATCAACTAGTACAATTAAAAGAACCACTCATAAAGAGACAATTCATAATTTTTTCTATAGCCAAATAAGGACAAAATTATACATTGTCTGAAGAACAACAAAAAATCAGGCATATGAGATATAAGAAAAGTAGCTAGTAACGGTCATCAAGATAGTTTCCGCATTTTCAAATGAAGTAATCGAGTGGAGTTCCTTGTCATCCTTAGTGATCTCATCAGTAGACTACTCCTACTAGCTAAAAAGGCAGTCCACAAAACTATAGAGATATTGTAAACTACTCGTCCACTTAGGAAGTTAACCTTCTAATAAGTTATCCATAAAGCCCTATGCTTGTTGAGCATGTGTGCAACATTGAACGCCTTTTGTTAAAAAAAACAAGAAGAAAGTTGTGGAGATCAGAGCACGTTTTTGAAAGATAGTCACTCAAACAATGAAATAATAATCAATTCCTAACAGCAAAGGATAAATACTTACATAGAGAAAGACAAAACAATAAACCTCTTCTCATTGCATATCTACAGATTTTCTCTTTGGATTCAACAAGTTGTATGCATAGGCTAGGATTATTACACAATCATGCATGGATATGCTTGTATTCTTTCTCGAACCGGGAGTCCCTATGAGTGTAGAGCTAAGGTTTTTGCCAATCCACAATTCCAGTTGTCCCTAGGAGTGTAGAACCTTTGAAATGCATGGTTAATGGTGCCACAGCAGGCTGCTCGCTGACGCTGAAAAACGCAGGCAATCCCGGGAGAGGCGCGGGAGTTCGATCTGGGCCGGTCAGCAGGCTACTACCTACTGCTGGCCGGGTCAACCGCCACGTACCAGTGCTTCTTCCTCGGCACCATCGGCGCCGTCTTCTTCGGCTCGGCGCTGCTTGCCGGAGTGGTCATGACGGTGCTCATCCCGGTCACCGAGGTGCTCGCCGTCATGCTCTTCCACGAGCCGTTCAACGGCACCAAGGGCGTCGCCCTCGCGCTCTCGCTCTGGGGCTTCGTCTCCTACTTCTACGGCGAGCTCCAAACATCCAACAAGGCGCACCACCACCAGTCTGACAAGACACCAAATGCTGATGAGCATTTGCATTTGGACCCATAGATGATGGCGGCTGTAAATCGTAGTAAATGCTACCCGGGCCAGTAGTAAGTTTTAATCTACCCTATATTTCAGTTGAGGAATAAGTAGGCCATATCATTCCATTCATATAATACAACACCATTTTATATGACAGGATTTCGGGTGAAAAAAAGGCATCAAAACAGTAGCAACGGACAGCCAATGCTGCAGTATTATTCAAATAAAATAAGAGTACTGTCTCAAGCGAAATTGAGAGCCTGACAAGCAGGGCATTTCTTCAGCGCCTACTAATCCTCTGCAGGACTGATTTCCGAAATATCAACCGACGTGAATTCACCTTCTGGCTTGAAGATGTATGCGAAACCAGCAAGCTTCTTCTGTGGGATCTGGCTGATCTTGAACCTGTCCTCGTCAGTCAGCTCCCAGTCGAAGATCTCAAGGTTTTCCTTAAGCCTCTCCTGTTTGTAGGTCTTGACGACAAAACTCACTCCTTGCTCATATACCCATCTCAATGACACCTGAAAAAGGAGAGTAGATCTGGGACTCACTCTAAGCATCAGTCAAAGAGACATAACTGGAGCTAGCCGCGCTTATCATCAACACTTAGACGTCTGAAGTACAGAGGCAGCTAGTAGCTGTGTTTATGAGGATATATATAAACCTGTGCCACGGTCTTCCCTCTTGCCTTAGCTATCTCCGCGAGAACCTGGGATTCGAGCACGGCGTTTCTTTCCCCCGTCCAGCTCTGCCCTCCCAACGGCGAGAACGCCTGGACGTGGATGCCCTTCTCGTCCAGACAGCTACTCTCCAGGGCAGTATCCAAACATGCTTTGGCTGCTGGCAAACCGGGTTCAACTCCACCTACAGACACCGCCGTCGTGTGATTAATCGACGGCTAATTAGAATCTCGATCGACTAGCGAGGTTGATCGGCAACCGTACCTGGTTCACTGCAGGGGTGATGGTGGCAAAAGGCAACGTCTAGTCGAGCGTCACGTTCGCTTGGCTAATAAGCCGATATTTTTCTCTCACAATAAATCAACCAACAGTACTTTCAGTTATGGTTTATCAGCCGAGCGAACATGGCAGAGGGCAGACGTGCTTGGTCGTGAAGTTGCTGACGCCGATGGCCCTGGCGAGCCCAAGTCGCTGGCACTCCTCCGTCGCCTGCCACACGCCCTTGAAATCGAACGGGAGGGCGTCCTCCCTCCTGGCCGGGAACACAGGCGGCCCGGGCTTCTGGCACACGGGCATGTGGATTACGTACAGGTCCAGGTACTCCATCTGCAGGTTTCTGCTCTCACGAGTCGTGACAAATGAACAAAATTCATGAGAAACAACAAGCCCGTCAACTCGTGCTACAGCAATGGTGAAAATCTTAGGAGCATTAGAAGCTCGTGTTTAATACTATATATATATATATATATATATATATATATATATATATATATATATAATACTATATATATATATAACAAAAATTACACATATCTTCCCACGTGTGCCCTCTCTTTACTTTCTAAAGGAGTCCAGAATATTAGACAGGGCCAGGCAGAGGCAGCTATCTATATTTTTTATAAAAATAAACCCTACTAGCAATTTATCTTACTATGCAAAGTGTCCACATCAGCATTTACTAACATATCCAACTAACACATGTCATTGTGCCTTCATTCAAGCTATTCACGTTAGCAAACCACATCATTTACTAACATATATTTAGTTGTTCACGTCATAATGCTAAAAATCATCCACTAACATGTATTATGATATTTATTCAATTATATTAGTAAATATAAGTAATATGATTTCACCAGCAATTCCAACACGCTTCCAACGCGCGGGACGTTCTGTATATATGGTTCCTCAGCAAGGTAATCGAAATCGTTGCATGGGTGCTGTGCAAACGGCTGACTGTGCTAATCACCGTCATTAGTTCGTTACTCGCATTAAGCTAAAGAAGTACAGAACACGTGCATGCCACAATATCTCAAGTATTTAGTGTTTAATTAAGCATATATAAGACTTCTATAGGTACAATATATACAAGTCTTTTTCGTTAGAAATGTTTCTTTTGTTCAATCTTATAAACTCAAAATAAGGTAATATATACCACCTATTTTAGTGAGTGAGTGTATACTAATCATACGCATGTATTATAAATGTGTATTAATATCATGATTTTTCTCATGCCAGGTTAGTGTGTAAAATATTTTTTTATTTCTGTTTTAATTAATTGAGAAAAAATACTAATCTAAACCATTTAAAATTATGAATAGTGTGTAAATATATTTTTTCATTTCTGTTTTTATGCAAGATTTATGTGCAAAATATAGTAAAAGTATATACGTTAATCATACACCATATTTACTCAATAGCATTCCCATGCACAGGTCTTGAACCAAATAGACCTCTCATGACTTGCTTAGATAAGCAAAAGTCATCAACTTTTCAAGCAATATTTTTTACCTGGCAAGTTCTCAAGCATCTGACCAAACAAGCCCTTACTATCATATAATTTACATGCCTAGAATTACTAGGTTAGTGTAGGGATGAAACCTACAGGATGCAAAACTTTAATTGTACGATGGGCATAGAACACACTTGTTTATTAGGCACAGAGTGAATTTGATCATACGACAGGTTTTAATTTCTGTAGAAATTTTAGTCAACCTAATTCACTCCTCTTGAATATCTGGATCCTTTCAGAGTCCACGTAAGGCCATTTTAGTTTTGACAGGCATGAAACAGCGTTAGTACTGATTGCTTTAATTTAGAACCTCCTGGGATATTTAATTTGGTGGTAGGGTACAATGACTCAGAAGCGGGCCCTAGTACTGCGAGAGGGAGGTAGTACCTTACTAGTCGAATAGGCAGTGGCCCCATAGAATTACAGGGCATGTTTGGTACATCTTATAAGCTGTTAATGATGAAAATAAGCTGAAATTAACAGCCAAACGTTACGTTTTTCAGCAGCTTATTCTGGCCACTCTTATTTCCACAACTCTCATTTGTACTAAAAAACAGAAGCTAGATCATACCAGCTTATTTTGACCACTGCTTTTACTCTATTTGTGCAGCTAAGCTGTACCAAACGGCCATAGCTATCGATAAAAGACAAAGAGAAGTCAACCTGACGTAATGGACCATATCATTTCACCTTTCCCGATTATGAGCTATTCGGCTGATGGTTTTTGCAGTTGATAAACCAACTGATGTTGTATTGTTGTGAGAGAAAAATAATATATCATGACTGATAAGTTCAAACGAACAGAGCGTTTTAAATCTTAATGACGTCGATTTGGGTCACACATGGATAGAGGTTAGAACGTCCAGAGGCCGCATATGGCCTAGTATACAACAGAGTGTCATACGCATGATGGATGGGCCCCCGCATCAGAACAAGGCCTCAGCTAAGGCTGCCTATCGGGCCAAAGCAGACCCGGCGTGAACACAGATTGATTAAGATAGGAGTTTGGTTTGTTTAGGAAAGGATGATCCAACCTATAAGAATATCTTCCGTAGTTGCTTGGAACACAAGTCCTATAGAGACTATAAATATAGGGGAGATGTAATCGATCCAATCTAAGCGATAGAAGAGCAATTGCTCCTTCCCCTACCTCTCCCCTCTCTCCCTGCCGACTCCCTCCTTCTCCCATGCCCCCTAACCCTAGACGTCACCCCTCCTCCATAGCCGAAGCCCCCTCCCCCAGGAGGGCTCTTACACCTGGTATCCAAAGACCAGATCGATCTTTCGGGCAACACTCCAACCACTATCATGGAGAACCTCAGCACCAACATCCGCAACATGACCAATCAGTGGAAGAAGATGTTTGACGACGAGTTCTTCGCTCGCCTCAACAACGGGTATGCTCTGATCACCAACTTCGGGGCTCCCACCGCCGCCAACAGCAGCGGTAGCCCGCTGCTGCCCTGTGCCGCTGCGCCCTCGCTGCCCGCTGCACCCCGCAGCGGCCATGCATCTAGCCGCGTCGCCACCAGCCATCCCTACAGCGGTCGTGCCACCAAGCTTGTGGATAACAACGCCCACCTGAACAACATCGAGCGTGCACCAAGGTGGACACCGAAAACGATATCCACAAGGTCCTCGACAATTGGAAGAAGAAGTTGTATGTGTTCTTCGATCATTGCGAAAATTCTCCTCCAATAGCTGGCCCACCTCAATCGGAACTCACCAATCCGAAGATCGCACACAAAGGAGGAGCACCAACAACAACAACAACGCCATCCTTACAGCTTACTCAATCGATAGCAGATCCAAAACTGCCTTCGGGTGAAATATCTACAACGCCCATATCTACATCGACAATGCTCACACCAAGGTCGCCTACAACACCAACATCGATCATGGCTACAGTCACCTTTGGCTACATCAACAACCTCTGGCATGCATCTTGTTTGACAGATGGCGCCCAGCAGTGGTACATGCACCTCAAGCAGGACAATGTGGTGACAGATCACTACATCAACGAGCGATTCAGCCCTCATACCTACCGCAACCAATTGGCCGAGCTCGCATCCCTGTGCACGACCGGCACTGTTGATGACTACAAGGAGCACTTCCTGGCGCATGTGGCACGTGTCGGAGCCTTAGAGGAGCAGTAGCCGAACATGGAGATGGCCATGTCCCTTGCTTGGATGTATGATCAGCGAGCAGCGAAGATTGCCGACACCAACAAGTCAGCGGCATCAAAGCCGCCCATCCAGATGCTACCTCTGAAGGCACCACCCTCAACCCCACCAACACCAACATCTATAGGCGTGCCCCAGCTGCACCACCGTGCCCCTTCAAACGCCTCACCTCCGAGGAGACGACGAAACGCCGCTGAGCTGGCCTATGCTTCAACTATGATGAGCCCTTCACCCGCAACCACAAGTGCAAGCATCTCTTCAACATCATGGCCACCAATGACTACGACGCCAACGACGTCGACAACAGCCTCCTCATGATGTTAGGTATGACACAGCCCGCTATTCACGGCTGCCACCCGATGTACCTTGCAGAAGCGATATTGGGCACCAGCACCCACATACTAGTCGACACGGGCGCCACGCACAATGTCATCGACATCAACTTCGCTCATCTCATCGACCTCCTCAAGCAGTGCATCAACAACACGATCCTCGTTGGCAGCGACAACGAAGTGTCGTGCCGGGCGGCATCCTTCAGCGTCCCACTCCACATTGACGCGGAGACCTTCCAGAGTGACATGTTCCTCCTCAACATCGACAACGACATCGACATCATCCTGGGCACGCCTAGGTTAACAGACCTTGGTCGTCTGACGTGGGACTTCAATGCCATGGAGCTGCAATACTACCGCGAAGGGGGCACCATCTCTTTCACCACCGTCCTTCCTCAACGTACTCCGCAGACCGTCATCGCCCTACCAGCGCCGCCACCTATCACATTGGCACCACGGGAGCAGCCAGCACCACCACAAGCACCATCGTCGCCACCTCGCCACATCATGAATCGGGCAAGCCAGTTTCGTCTCACCAGTGCCTTCGACTACGTCATTACCATCGACACAGTCTTCAGTCATCTTTTTCGCACCATACTTCAACTGCAGGAACTATGCCACATTACCCTCACCTTTGGCAATGGCACTGCCACTCCAGCATGGTCTATTGACCAAGGCCTACTCTTCTTCGTCGGGCGCTTCTACATCCCAGTGACTTCACCACTGTTACTAGACCTGCTGAAGGCACTCCTACTCGGCGAACCATCACACATGAGGTACCTCACGCTCGGCTGCCACCCACCGACGACGTCTCATCACAATGTCGCCCCCTCGGGTATTCTGCTGGGCCGGGCGTGGCCACAGGGCACGGTCTCCCACACTATGGAGATCTTCCTAGATGATTTGGGTAGCCAACTCCTCCACATCGACGTCTATATCAGCCTGTGACCCAACTCTGACTGCCCTCGACTTTTCCTAGATGAGTTCAATGGGGGCGATCTCATGTCCGACACCATGCTGGACTTGATGACGACGCCACCTTCAGACTCCACCTCAACCATCAGGCGCCGGGTACCTAGCTACACCCTGCCCAACATCACCAACAGGACCCATGACTTCGCTACACCACCACGAGAGATGCTCCACTTCTCCATCGATGTCGCCATCCACCATCCCTTACTCGCAGCAGCCGGCCAGGTAGCAGGATCCCTGGGAGGTCACGCACCATACAGCTTCTACCTCGATGGCTACATCAGCAACCTCCTCGATTGCCTCGAGTTCATCATCGACCGCACGAGGGACAACATGATCCAAGCTGACCCAGTTTGTGGTTGCCTCCTCATCCGCATTGAGGCCATTATACCAGGGCAAGCTTTTCCACAAGACGGCGTCAACGATTGGGCCTTGCTTCAGCGCGAGGACGCACTGAGTGGAGAAGGAGGGGTGATGTCATACGCTTGATGGATGGGCCCCCGCATCGGAACAAGGCCTTAGCTAAGGCCGCCTATCGGGCCAAAGCAGACCCGGAGCGTGAACAGTACCCGCGGTACTGTAGCGCCACAGGTGTTGTTCGCCCACGGTACTGTAGTACACTGCCGCAGATTGATTAAGATAGGAGTTTGGTTTGTTTAGGAAAGAAGGATCTAACCTATAAGGATATCTCTTGTAGTTGCTTGGAACATAAGTCCTATAGAGACTATAAATATAGAGGAGATGTAATCGATCCAATCTAAGCAATAGAAGAGCAATTGCTCCTTCTCCTACCTCTCCTCTCTTTCCCTGTTGACTCCCTCCCTCTCCCTACGCCATCCCCCTCTCCCACGCCTCCTAACCCTAGCCGCCACCTCCTCCTCCATAGCCGAAGCCCCCTCTCCCCAGGAGGGCCCTTACAAGGAGGGAGGTCCCAACGGCAAGGCCAGCCAACAGGTCGACGAGACCAATTTAATGCTCGTTCTACGCCTGATAAACCCTTGAACGTCTACCGAGAAGAGTCGTCATGGAGACGCATGGCGGAGTGTGTCCTAGGATCGACAAGGCCACATTGAATGCCCACAAATTACGTCAAGGGACATGTAGGATAGCATGGGGTGGAAGAGATAAGGGGTAAAAAGGGTGTATATTGAAAAAAGTTTGGTTATGTAGTTGAATACCTCAATCGGCCATGTGTCTCATATTTTATATGGAGCAGGGGTGGTATTATCCCGTTGGAAAACCAATGTCGTACAATTACATGTTGCTTCATAGAGTTTTCTTTAGATTGGGCCAAAACTGGCATGGGCCGATTCTAAAACCGACCTAAACTCAATTGAGTGTCAACATATGCCACGTGTTTTTAACCGAAGCATATGCAAGTTTAAAAACTTACGGTAAATAGCAATGATGTTCTACCACATCTGCTATTTTTGCTCATGCATGCATCGGCCATTGTCGTTGTAAAGACAATATGTGTATATTGGTTAAGTCTAGATTTTCACGCCCATTGTTTGTCTCAGAATCTCTACTCGCTCAACATATTTTTGAGGTGACTGGGCTTCTTTTTTAACCGACCGATCCATTGAATCGGCTTGTTTGCACCTTTTGTCGGAGATCTTTGTTTTATTAATCTTCCATGTTCCTATCTCCATGCGCTTCGGTTTAAATGTATGTTGCGCATTTTGACCAAAGCTAGCCTACCTGATTTGAAAAATCGATCTTTTTTTTTGAAGAAAAAAATCGATCTTCTTGATTTTTATTGGTTATTACTGTATTTCTAAATTTTGAAGCCGGCTCAACCGATACTTTTTGGACAACAACAATGTTGTCTTTGTTTTCCTTGTTTACGGAAGCTGTTTCATGCCACCCCCCTCCCCCGAGTATTTTTTAGGAAGTGCTCCTAAATTGGCTTTATTGGTTTCAATTGCTGTAGTAGTCAATTTGAATTGGTTAATAGATGCATACATTTGTTGTCCATCGTAATAGTTGAACGACATCGGGTATTGAAGTTGGCTAGCAATCGGGGCCAATCTGCTAAAAGAAGCATCATGAGGAAAAACAATAAATTCATATTTCCTTTCCCCCTTGTTTTTATAGCTATCCATGAGTTTATTCAATTTTTCAATTATAGGTATATAAAAAACTCATGAATCATCTTAGCAAACTCATCACGCGTAACACCAGATCCGAGGGATCCGAGGGACATTGATCTGTTTTTACCTCATATGTAGATATAGTAGGAAGAGGGTCGAAGTGGACATCTTTGATCTTCTTGGTAGTTCCTTGCTGATCCATCTCGAAGCATGCCAGGGCAAATTCCAGATCGGCAGTGGCTTGGGCCTTTGCCCTCTCCTCTAGTATCCTGCAAATCTCCTCGGAAAGTAGATCGACCAAAGCCTTTCCACTGGCCATCTTAGTAGATCCGTTTCGCTTCATCCTCAACGAAGTCACCAAAAAGTGTGTTAACGCCGATTCGGGTCATACATCGGTAGGGGCTAGATTGCCCAAAGGCCGCACATGACCTAGTATGCAATAAAGGGAGGTCCCAACGGCGAGGCCAACCACCACTACTATAAAAATCTTATTGGAGGCGGGCGTTTTTTATTTCTAGAGGCGGACATTGCAACCGCCTCCAATCAAAGATCACGGTTAATCCATGACATATTACCCGCCTCCGTAAATCAGACACGAAAAACAAAAAAAAAGAAAAACCCACGGATAGGCCCATCCACACGTCGCCGCCACCACTAGCTGGATCTGCGCGTCGTTAACGTCGTCGTCCCTGGATCCAATGGCGGGGGATGCCACCACCCTCGATCCGTCATTGAAGGACGGCCATGCCATGGATCCGTCACCGGTGAGCGCACCCGCCCCTGGATCTGCCGCTGGGGAGCGCCACAAGCCTCCTTGCGTGTGGATCTCATCGGCCTCTGCCTCCTCGTGTCGGATCTTGCGAAGCCACCGGATCCGGATCTCATCGGGGCTACGAGCTCGTTGGAGATGCGCTGCCAGCTCCTGGCCACGCCACCACCGAGACGCGTGTCCACGCCGCCAGGCCACCTCCGTCCGTGCCAGGGCCGCCCAAAACCGAGCCAGGGCTAGCCGCGTCCGCGCCGCCGGGGCCGTCTGGCCGTGCCAGCCGGGGCAAAGAGAGAGACGAAGAGAGAGATGGGGCGCCGGAGGGAGGGAGAGACGGGAGGGAGCAACGCTGAGGGAGGGAGAGGGGCCACCAGAGGGAGGGAGCAACGGGAGGGAGAGGGGCGACTCAGGACGGAGAGACGGGAGGGAGAGAGGTGACTCGGGAGGGAGAGGGGCGGCTCAGTGAGGGAGACGGCAGAGTGACAGGGATAGTGAGGTGAAACCCTAAGTTCTATTTATATATGAGCCCGATAGATGTATTGGCAATGGGCTTTTGCTGGGCCTCATGTGTATTTTCCCAGGTGGGCCTTTTAAGAGGCTCGCCTCTGAAAATGGCCTGATTTTTGGATCCTCCGTAAATCTATCTTAGGAGGCGGTTATTTTTTTACCGTCTCCGTTAATTGATTTTACGAGGCGGGCAAACTTGACCGTCTCGGTAAATAAAATTAACCGCCTCCATTAATAGCCCAGTATTTTAGGAGGCGGTTGAATTTTGTGCTCGGTACTGTCTCCTAAAATCATTTGTGTAGTAGTGCACCAGGCCCACAAAGCTGATCAAACGCTCGTTCTACGCCCAATAAACCCACGAACGTCCTAGGATCAGAAAAGTCACCTAGAATGCCCACAAATTCCGTCAAGGGACATGTTGGACAACAAGGGGGTTGAAAGAGATAAGGGGTAAAAAGTGGGTATATATTGATTAAAAGTTCAATTGCGTAGTTTGATACCTCAATCGGCCGTGTACCCTATATTTAATATGGATTAGGGGTGATTTTATCCTGTTGAAAAACTAATATGGTACAATTACATGTCACTTTGTAGAATTTTCTTTGGCATGGACCGATTCTAAAACCGGCCTCAGTTCAATTTACATGTCAACAAACCTCATTTGATTTGATGCCATGCTGAGTGACCACGTGCGTGAATATTCAGCCACCAGTTGAACCGTAATTTAGGGATTTCTTCATGTTATATTCTTTAATGACATAGTTTGATTATTTAGAGGTAGATTCAGGGATTATTTTATGTTATGTTTTATAATGACATATATGGGTAATATTTTCTAGAGTCGATCAAAGGTCCGGGTGGCACTGCGTGCACCACAGCTTGGACGTGACGAACACCTCCTCCCGGGACTTGATGAGCCCGCGCCGCACCGCCTCCGCGACGCCCTCGCCGAGGGGCTTCTCTGTCCCGTACAAGTAGGCGGTGTCGAAGTGGCGGAAGCCCAGCTCGATGGCCGCAAGCACCGCGTTCTTGGTGTCGTCCTGCTGGAGGAATATCACCGCTGTGCCCAGGCCAATCACCGGCACCGCCGTCGTGCTCCTCGTGGAGGCCATACCTCTGCGTCGCTTCGCTTGAGGCTTAGCGGCGGAGTTGGATTGCACTGATGTGTGGTTGCGTAGGACGAGTCTGAGCCACGCAATTGGTTTGGCGTCGACGTGGCCTGGCTAATAAAAAAAATCAGTGCGTGTAGTTATACCCCCTGAGATCTTCTAGAAAGAGCAAACCGGCTTACTGGCGTGGCTTCTTTGTCGGCCTCTCGATACAACTACTCCGTGAGCAGCAAGTATTGGAGTACTGTCTGTAGAGTGGCCAGTGTGAGCCGCCGCGTGGAAGACAACGATCACACACTGTTTGTCAATTGTCACGATCTTTATTATTTTGAGAACACGATTTCCCGTGTATTTCGTTAAGAAGAAGAAGAAAGCAAAGTTTCAATCCCGACTCATCCGAAGGTGAGGTGCCTGAGACGAGCAGGATCCGCTCACAGACCAAAAGAAACCGGCCAAGAAAAGAAACGTTGTTTGTCAATTGTCAGGATTGATTGGTCACTCGGTGTTGGTATCGACAATTGACAGAAGTGTCGTCGGAATGTCAGATAGCTGGGTTTGAGATCGAAACCTCTGGCAGTGTAGTACTTCCTCCGCCCATAAAAGAAAACCATTATAGGATTCGTGCAGGTAAACTAGCTCAAGTTTGACTAAATTTATAATAAATATGTTCGGCATGTTCGCTTGGTCGTAAACGATCGTAAATTTTCAGTCAGAACAGTATTTTTTTCTCACACCAAACCAGCCAGCAGTAATAATCCACGATCGTATACTATCGTATCAGCACCAGCCGAACAGGCTGGTTAGCATTTATGTCTTCAAATAAATTTATTATAAAAATATATTCTATAGCTAATCTAATGGTACTTGTTTTTGTACCATGAATGTTAATACATTTATATAAGTTTAGTCAAAGTTCAAACTGTTCGACTTCTCAAAAAGCGAAAATGCCATTTTTTATGGACGGAGGCAATGCTAAAGGCCACTCCCTACCTTAAAAACTAGCATAATTTCTAGCAGATCATGGAGATAAAAGACACATGATTGAATAGATATTTTGAAGAAATTATCCACTGAATATATGATTTATATATATATTGTCCATATGTATAGAAACTATGTCATAGTTTCTGGGTTATAACTGCTCTAATAACCACAAGCTATTATATGTACCGAGGACAAGCACTCCGCTATCCGGATTGAGGAGTGGTATCCCGCTCTAGGTTATTCCAAACTTCGCTAGAAAAAATAAATATTTATATATCTATATCTATATTACTAATATTAAAGGGTGAAATTTTGTTGGATCGTCGTCGCTTCTAGAAAGCCTCTCCCACTAATCTACATGCGTACACCACCCTCTCCAAAGCCCACGCAGCCCCTATTGTCATATTGGAGTCGGACCCGACGATATGCATGTGCACAACTGCTTCTCTCCCTCCCATTCATATAAATCTCGGCCTACCGTGCCCCTCTTGAAGAATTAGATTTTCCCAAGAGCACATCTCTCATCAAGACGAACCCCTCTCCCCTAAATAGCTCCATGACTCCCCGCACGGTCTGATATGGAGAGAGCCAACCACTGGGAAGTGGGAACCCCTGGTCTGGATCTTCAACCTTGTCGCACTTCATGTTCCCAAAAAGAGAAGAAAGACAGAGAAGGCAAAGTAGGCAGAGCTACCCACTACACCAGAATGGGAGGAGAGTAGTCAAACGCCTGCTGTTCCTAGGTGCGAAAGTCGGAAGGTGGTGAGAGGACCAAGGAGCAACCACCACCTAGGAGCCCATCAGGTATGGATGGTCGCTTTGGACTTCATGCGCGACATACATATATAAGCGCCTCCATGTGCAGCCACCATATGTTGAATGACAACTTCACGGTGAGCCAAGGCTACGAACATCAACCCCGCCTCCAGGCTCCCCACACATTAGCTCCTTACACAAGCGCCATGCCAATAGGCCACCATGCCCAAAGTCCGGTAAGCCTGGACCCACATCAGTGGTGGCGGTTGTCCTTCGCTCCTAAGGGCACCCTCAATAGTATGATATAGTTTTTTAAAACAACCTCTACAATAGTATTAACTTTTAATACATAGCTCATAATATGAATAGCCCCACGTGACAATCTTACATGATCTTAGAGTATAAGCATGGCTCTTAATCAAGAGATAGTTTTTCTCTGTCGTCCTCAAAAAAACACGAGTGGAGTGGTTCCTTGGGCCTAAAAATTTTGGAGAGGATCTCAGGGTAGCATGCGGCGTCAATGGAGAGCTTGTGTCGAGACGAAGCTACTTCATGAAGGGCTCGTATTTGTTTGATGCATGAAGACCATCTGGACCATTGTGGTCCTAGTGGCTAAGTGGTTCATGTCTAAACCTAGAGGTATTGTTGGAATGTCTAATAGCCCTCTATAAATAAGAAAGGAGGCTATCCAAGACATCCATCCTTCTATCACTTGTTCATTTCCTAGGGTTAGCCAAGTGCTCCAAAGATTAGAGGAGTTAGGGTCCTTTTGGTTGGCTGTGAACTGTGGAAAAGCTATTGTGGGCTGTGAGCAATGAGAAAGCTACTGTGAGCTGAGAGCTGTGAGAAAAGCTGAAAACCGTTTGATTGAAACAACTGTGAAACTATAGGTTTTCTAAGAAATACATGTAATGCCTTGAAGGCCTAAGAGACTGTTTATATGCAAATTGACCCTTAAACACTATCATGTTCACTAATTCGTATGTAAATGACCATCTTAGAAAAGGAAAGTTATAATTTTTGGAGTTTTTCATCAAACACTAAACATATGGTCTTTACAAAAGATATAGGAAAAATAGAAAAAGTAATGAAACAAAAAAATTGGAAAAAGAACGGAAATCAAGATACTCCCTATGATTTACAAGTATTCTAACTCGTATGAGCATGCTTATGAGTCCGTGTCACATCATGACTCAATACATCTTAAAATTGGACTAAGAAACTCTCCATTATATGGTAAGTTAGGGAGAGGTGACCTAAAAATAGGCTAAAATTTTATCTATTTATTATTAGGTATACATATAGATATAGATATAGATATATAAATAGACCCATGGAACAGTGTCCGATGGAATGGCTGGTACTCCTAGCATTACCACTATTGGAAGAGCTATACATATTTCCGCTACCTGAAAATTTGCTCATCTTCATATCAAGGTCTAAAAAATTACTCATCTTGAGGTCATTGATCTGGGTCGTTTAATGGTAGATACATACTTATATTGTTATGCAGTTGTCTTATAAGCAATCAGCAACCCCCAAACCCACACCACTTGGCATACGCAAGGGCGGAGCTTAGTTGAGGCCAAGGTGCATCCTAGTTCCCTTCCTAACAAAATTTCCATTGAGCAAACAATAATTTTGGTACTGCTTATGGGTGTTTAGAGCTCAATTACATGGATTAGGATTAGCCCCTCATGTTTGTTCAGTCAAGCTCCGTCGCTGGGCATGCGAACGATACCCCAAGATCGGCGCACCATGCGAACGATACCCAAAGACCGGCGCACCTCTGGCTCCATGCCGTGCCGTTCTCATGACCGCGACCTACTACACCGGTAGACCTGCCTCCCGGTGACCTTTCTTAAAGGCTATCCCGTGATAGAGAGGCCACCTCAGCGAGCCAAACCTCACGGATATTGTCTTATCGTGCGTCATATATATACGGGCAAATGAAAACTTGCGCCTTTTCAAACTTTTCAGTCGTCAAATGTGTATGAGGGCATTGTAGGAATCGAAAACTCTTCTAGTGTAGATTAGTGAGTAGAACTTAGCTTAATGCATGAATCGGGAGAGGGAGACTTGGTGATGTACTTCATCATACGTAGCCACGGCCACGGGGATGTACTTCATCATACGTAGCCACGGCCACGGCGCCACGGCGACGTGCCCACTGGAGTCGTAGTAGCAGTGTAGTGACGATGCGCGATGACGTGGCAAAGTGCAGCGGCCCGCTGGTGGCACTACAGAGGCGACGGAGAAGTCGGTGGCGGCTTCCTGTCGCTGGCAGCACCCTCTCTTTAGATCGGGTTAGAGTTGGGATAGAGGTGGGGCATCTGGTGGCTCATGGGAACCTCGTAACTAGTGCCCCAGCTTCAACTACCCTTTATGGTGTTGTGCGACGGGGGCCCACCAACCATAGAGTAGTTGAACGCCCCCGATCAGGGCGTTGATCCAAGGGCCTAATTGGCCGTTGGGCCAATTGATGGAGATCAAACTTACATTCTCCCTCTTGATCTCACCTTATTGCTTAAACTTAACTTACTTACTTTATCTTGTTCCCATTCCATCACAGATCAGTGCATAGAGTGTGCCTCATCGTCACGATCTGTTGCCATTAGATTAAACAGCTACAACGCACTTCTTTGTTTTGAAACAGATACTCAACTAGGCCCTTAATATCTAGAAATCATAGGCTTTTCCATAAACCCATGTCGATTGTGTGTTCTCTGAATGCACTGGGTGGTTAGCCTTTGGTAAGCGGATCCGTAAGTACTTGCTCGGTACTTATGTGCCCAATACTTTCAAAATAATTCTGGATTTTCTCCTTTACAACATATAACTAAGTGTCAATGTGTTTGGCACCACACTTGACCTGTTGTCTTAGGAGTTAATTTACTTTAAATGGTTATTGCTGTTGTCTACCATTGTTAAATCTAGGTACAGATTCTCTTAACCATCTTTTGCCTGTTCCTTAAGCCTCATGACAAGCTATACTATGGTATGAATCACTGATGACACCACAACTATTTTTTTGAAACTTTTCCACGATAATACTCCAACTACGAGTGTTAGCAACTGTTGTGGATTTCACTACACATTTTACCAAGACTTAACTTTTTGTACCCTCAACTATTTGAGAGTACTTATTCTTTCTTATTCAGCATGAGGCCTATTATATTTTGCAAAATTGCAAGACATTCTCAACTCAATTCCAGTGATCTATATCTGAACTGGACTTCTACCAAAATATCCCGGATACATAA